CATGATATTTGGCAGAATTACTGCAAACTGTTTTTAGTCTGCATGTCAAGTCTGTAAAGTAACATCACCTATACTTTTACAAAGAAACTAACATATAGAGGAGGAAGACCACTTACATTCCACAGCTAGCACGTTATACAGGAAGAATCTGAACTCAGGTCTTCAGACCCCAGGCTCAGGGCCCTTTGAATTTTAGCAGTGTTGTCTCTTATAATAATCTTTGACTTTTCAGCTTCTCCTTAACAACATGCTTAATTTTTCTGCAAACAGTCAATCTCATTACATTCTTATAGGATGAAAGAAAGTGTGTAAATTGTTTACCAAATCTGGACAATTCAGAGGGGGCTTATGTGACTCAGAGTAATTGATACCTTGTACTCAAAGGGCCATGGGAGACCACAGATGAGCTGTTAACTGGGTAATTTTGAAGGATCTGATCAGGAAGGACTACATCTCCTAGAAAGAGACATTGGACAGCCAAACACAGCTTGTTTGGGAATTGAGTATCCTTGCCAAGACTTCATTCAGAAATAACCTCTTGGTCATCATCCTAAATGGGCAGGCTCTTCTATCCTATCAGCCTGCCAACCACCCTGGTATAAGTACCAGAATTTTACATCTGCTGACAATCCTGGATTAACGTTTGCAAAACATCTAACACAAGAGTGAGAGAGAGATATATAGCCAAGACACATCTATTTATCCTCTCTGAAGAATCCTTAAAGTCATCCCTAAATACCCTCAAATTGAAACATTTGTTGACACAATTCACGTTGACAATTTCATTTAAGAAGTGCTTAGCTTTCTCGGGCTGGAATCATAATACGTATGCAAAGAGACACCTAGTGGCCCAACGTGTACGCACACTATTTTAGCTAGAGACCAAACACTGAAACATTATTGGACTCCCTATTTTAGCACTCTTTTGATTTCGATAGGGCATTTTTTTTTTAACTACTAGAGTTCTAAATGGAGAAATTTAAATTTTACAAAAGAATATTTTGTGTTTCTTTCTAAAGGAAGTGTTTGCTCCTCTATTTGTTTTTTAATTAGATGATCTTACTGCATAAAGTCCTGAAAAGTCACCCAAAAATTAAAGTAGACTGTAATTGGCCAGACACTTCAGTTCACCTTTTCCTGAACACATGTGTGATTATTTTTCTGTTTCCATTCCTTTCTAGACTTCGTGTGTGAGATTTTCCATTTGTCTTTGGGTTGTTTTATTCTTGCTTTTAATTCAGTAAAGCCAAAGACTTTTTTTCCCAGCCAGCTTCCTGTGGTCCGCCCAGCTTCCTGTGGCCCGCCCAGCCTTGTTACCTCACACTGCCTTTCTCACTCACACCTCACCTACACAGCTTTATACTCACCTCCTCACAGTCCATTCCCATGTGCACCTGTCCCACTTCCACCACCCTAGATAACATCATCTAACCTCAAAAGTCTGCCATCACAAAAAAAAAAACAAGGAATCATCTATTTTTTCTTTACCCCATAATACAGAAATTTGGTTATGCCTGAGTTTAGATTAGAAATTGTTTTTAATTAGATACATTTAATTGCAATTTATATGACCTCAGAGACTCAGACTCATAGGTTTTTAGATCTGAAAGAAATAGGCTTATTCTGGGGGACCCAGGACAATTTATGAAGTCTGATTACTCTGAGATGGCCATGACATAAAAACTCATGTGGATAGTTCCAGGAAGGTGATGCACCATGCTTAGAAGAAGAAGCCAAAAATGCCAAGGCTCTAGATGTAAAGATGAAAAAGTGATCTAAGAAGTAGATTCTCCTCCCAACTGTTCCAGCTAAAACCAGGTGGATCAGAGATGAGCAGCAAACCTAGCCCTTCCCAAATCCTGTCATGGGCAAAACAAACAGGTCCTTACTCTACCATTTTTCAGTAAGTAAAGTGATCCCTATTTCCTCTGTCACATGTTTGATGATGAAGTGTTGAAACCTTTTTCTTTAATATTAGGCATAAACCGAAAATGTCCACCATCATTCAACCATATTGTATTAGAAGGGCTCTTTTAAAAATTTTAAGAATTATAATGATTAAATATAAGAAATTAAAACTGTCAGTACTTTCAGACAGTATTACATGTGGAGAAGAACCTACACATGAATTATTAAAACTAAAGAGTGGACATAGAAAGATTGCTAGATACAAGGCCAATATGTAAAAATCAATATCATTTCTATATACCAGCAACAAATAGCATGAAAATTAAATTTTTAAGAAAATGCATATTCAGCAACATCATTAAATTTTGCGTACATTGTAATGAATCTAACAAAAGATGTGCAATACTTCCATGAAAAAAATCTGTAAATCTATGAAACATTATTGAAAGAAATTAAAGAAAAGCTAAATATATGGAAAGATATGTCATGTTCATTAATTAGTTTACAATACTTGAGAGTGTAAAGATGGCTGTGGTTGGTGTTTTTAATTTGCTGTTGATTTTACTATCTTATGGTCATAAGGATATTAGTCTACCTTTTCTTCTAGAACTTTAATTCTCCACCTGTCATATTAGATTGACAATTTACTTACAATCGATTTTTTTTTTAGGATTCATTTATTTTTAGGGAGGGGGTAGGGGAAGAGGGAGAGAGAGAATCTCAAGTAGACTTTGAGCTGAGCACAGAGCCTGACACAGAGCTTGATCTCAGAACTCTGAGAGCACGACCTGAGCTGAAACCAAGAGTTGAACACAACCAGCTGGGCTACCCAAGTGCCCCTTTATGTACAATTGATTTTTGATCATAGCTTCAGATAAGAATAAAGTTTCATTTTTTAAGTTAATAACCAACTGTCTTGAGTATCATTTATTGAAAAGACATCCACTTCCCCACTGGCTCTAACCAGAAAGGAAAAGCTTCATAAGTTGGAAGACACTGAAATTAAGAATTTCCACTCACCCAAAGACAGCATTAAGGGATTGTAAAAGCAAATAAATGAATGAGAAAAGACATGTGCAATACATAACCTGTTCAACCCCACACCAGAATATGGGAAGGAGTCTTATAATCAATAAGAAACAAGCAAAAAAACCCAAGAGAAAAATGGGGAAAGACTTAAGAGCCATTTTACAAAGGAGAGTATCAAATAACCAAATACGTATGAGAAGGAGCTCTGCTCCATTATAGGGAACAGGAAGGCAAAACTGCCACAATCATGAAATTTTGAAAGACTGACAATACCAGGTGTCAGCAACATTGCAAAGCCAATGAAAACACTCTCGAACGCTGCTGTTGGAAGTGTCAGTTGGGGCAACCACTCCGGAAGGCTGTTTAGCAGTATCTGCCAAAATGGATCCCATGCGGAGTCTGTGTTCCATACGTTTTCCTATAGAAGCATGTGTCAGACATGCATGCACCTGTACAGTGAACACATGTGTAACAATGCTTCTAGCAGCTTTATTAGTAATAGCCAGAGTGTTCAAAACAACCCAAACATCCACCAACAGGAAAGCAGATAAATTGTGGTATAGTCACACAGTGGAACACTACTTAGCAATAGAAAGGAAAAAACTACTTCTATTCACAGTCACATAATACTGAGAGAAAGAAGTAAGACACAAAAAAATATAAACAGGCAAAACTAGGCCATAGGGTTTAGTAAAGTACACTTGGGTCATAACACTATAAAGGAATGCAAGAAAGTAATGAATTACTTCAAATGGCCGTTGAGGGGTTACCTATAGGAAGATGGCAAGATTTATTGGAACGGGCACAAGAGAAGATTCTAGAGTTCTGACAGTATTCTTTTTTTTTTTTAAGGTTTTATTTATTGAGAGAGAGGGAAAGAAAGTACAAGTATGGGGGAGGGGCAGAAGGAGAGGGAGAAGCAGACTCCCCACTGAGCCAGGAGTCCAATGTAGGACTCCATCCCAGGACCCTGAGATCTTGACCTGAGCCAAAGTCAGACACTTAACCAACTGAGCCACCCAGAAGCCCCAACGATATTCTATTTCTTGACTCCCGTAGTCTAGAATTTATGCTTTATGATAAATCACTGAGATATTCAAATTTGTCCGTACATTCTTCTATATTTATATTTTAACATAATGTATTTTATATTGCAAAATAAAAGTTATTTTAAAAACAAAGATCTAACAACGTGTATCTAAAAGAAGAAAAACTGGGGCACCTGGGTGGCTCAGTCGTTAAGCATCTGCCTTTGGCTCAGGTCATGATCCCAGGGTCCGGGGATCAAGCCCCAGATCATATCTTATAGGGCTGCCTGCTCAGCGGGAAACCTGCTTCTCCCTCTCCCACTCCCCCTGCTTGTGTTCCCTCTCTCACTGTGTCTCTCTCCGTCAAATAATAAATAAAATCTTAAAAAAAAAAGAAAAAAAAACTGAAAACAAAAGGATATGGAAGGTTAAAAATAAAAAGATGGATACAGATATCCAGGGAAACCTAAAGGAAATGCAAGCTGTGCTGAGAATTTTAATATATGAAAATATAAAATTTATACATATATATGTATATTTACCGTGCATTGTTAAACATACATTTAATAGAGAAAGATGTTATAAGTCAATAAAAAAATCAAAGCCAGAAAATATAACCTTCACAAACATATATATATATATATATATATATATATATATATATATATCCTCAAATCAAGCAAACACAATTCATAAAACTGGAAAAATAAAACTGGAAAAAGAAGTAAATAAATTGGCAATTACAGTTGAGGATTATAGCACCCATCTCTCAGAAAACAATGCAGACTATAAGTAAATGGAAATGCAGATGACACAAATTAGTAAATTGCAGGTACACAGAACTCTGTAATTAAGAAATACACACATTTCCAACATACATGATATATTATAAAAAATTGACAAAGTACGATATTACAACAGAAGTCTTGATAAATTGCACAGAATTGATTTAACACAGATTATGTTCTCTGACTATAATGCTTTAATTATAGAAATTAATAGCAAAAAAATAGACATTTAAAATGTCTATATGTCTGGAAACAAAATCTCAGACTATTAAAAAAAATTGAATCCAGAAGGAAATAAAATGGAAAATATTTGGAATTTATCACCATTGACAACACTACACATCAAAATCTTAGGGCATGCAACTAAAACATTTTTGGGGGGGAAATATAGACCTTAAATACATTTATCAGAATATAAGAGGGAATGAAAACAAGTAAGCTAAGAGCTCAACACATGAAACTGGAAAAATAGCAAACTAGCAAACCAAGGAAGAAGTAGGGAAAATAAAGGCAGAAATAAATGAAATGGGAAAATAAGGGGAAGATTAATAAAGCATAAAACTAGTTCTTTGGACAAAAATTAATAAAATAGAACTCCAGCAAGATTGACTAAGGGGGAAGGAGTGTTAGATACAAATAAATACTTCTAAGTGAAGGCTCTGAGCCTGCCAATTATTCAGCCTGAAATTAACTTCAAAAATTTCATTTGGATGCAGGCAAATAGTTAAGAAGAAATCTAATATAGAAAGATTGCCTGATAACCCATTTTGCAATCTGCTCTCCTGAAAGAAGTAAAATATTCTTTGCCCAAATCTAGCTTATTCTTTCATATATTGGTCACTGGGAGTAAAAATCAATTGCAAAAATCAATTGCAAAAGTAATTGCAATTGGAAACAAATGATGTGAAAAGCAAAAAAAAAAAAAAAAAATATTTTCCCCATAAGTTTTTTGCAGGCAGAATTACCTAATATTTCAAGATTATTGTAACATATAAGGACAATTATATGCGCTCAAAATTCAAAATCAAACAAGTTAGAAAATTACTGTCCTGTTTCAGAATCTGCTCCTTTATTCCACCTACTCATTTTATCCCCTTTTAGCAGAGACCCCATTTCTCAAAGTTCACCAGAAGGATCTTTTGGGGGGCATTTATTAATTTTTGTCTGATCAGCTCCTTTTTCTTCTCCCCACACCCAACTGAACTGGCCCCACATCCCCAAAACAGGAGCAAGCATATGGCTTGGGTTTGTCAACCATTCGCTCATTTATCAAGTATTTATTGACTAACCATGCAGTAGGCACAGTATTAGAGCCTGAAAAATATAACCCTGAACAGATAAAATCTCCTTGTCCTCATGGGGCTTACATTTCATGGGAGTAGACAATTAACAAGATAAATAAGTAAAATAAGTGGCATATGAGATGGACATAAATGAAGAAAAATAAAATAGGGATGAGTATTACAGAGAGCTCTCATTTTAAACGCGTGGATGGGAACAGTCTCACTAAATAGGTGACATTTGAGTAAAGACCAGGAAGAGGTAAACAAGCAATCAATAGAAATCCAAGAGTGAGCTGTCAGGGTCAGAGAGCAGCCAAGGCAGAGCCCCGAACTGGGATTGAAAGTGTGTCTGGCATGTGTAAGGCACAGCAAGGAGGCCAGCATGGCAGAGGTTGATTGTGCAATGGGGGGAGACGGGTAGGAAATGAGGTCAGAGAGATTACACGAGGCCAGCTCACGCGGATCGTGGGTGGTTTTTTGAGTTATTGCTGAAGACTTCGGCTTTTGACGTGAAACAGGCAATCTTTATAGAGTTTGATCTGACACACATGTTAACAGCTCTGGCTCCAGCACTGAGAAGAGACTGAAGGAAGCAAAGACATAAACCCAGAGGCCAGTTAAGAGGCTACTGCAGTAAGTGGGAGAAGATATGAGAATGCCCTGGACCACAGGTGGCAAGAAGTAAATTGACCAAAGTACTTAACACCTTGGCCACAAGGGCCAATTAAGCCAAGAGTAAATGAACTAAGGCTAGCTGGGAAATTCTCCCTAAAGCATTGGGGAAGAGTCTTGTCATTTTTTCTGGGACTTGAACCATGAGCACAGGACAAGCCTGGAGTTAGCAGTGGCCATCTTGGTGAGTCGGTGGGGAGAACAGAGAATAAAACCAAAGCAGTGGGAAGAGAGCCTTGGGAGAGAGGAGAAAAAAGAAATCTTCCTGTGCCACAAAATGCTGAACTAGACATATTTAAGAAGATGAAAAGCTGAATATGACTTGTGGAATTTCAGAATGTCAAAGGCATACAAAGAATCCTAAAAGTTTAGGGATGCCTGGGTGGTTGAGTTGATTGTCTCCTTCAGCTCAGGTCATGATCCCAGGGTCCAGCGTCGGGTTCTTTGCTGAGCAGGGAGCCTGCTTCTCCCTCTGCCTACCGCTCCCCCTGCTTACGCTCTCTCTCTGACAAATAAATAAATAAAAATCTTTTTAAAAATTCCTAAAAGTTCACAGACAGGATAAAATGGTATTATATATAAAGAAACACAAATAGGAATAACATCAGATTTCTTAAAGGCAACGTGGAATATTAGAGAATATTGGAGTAATGTTTCAAATTTCTGAATCAAAATAAATGGGTACATAAAATTCCCTATCCAAGCACACAATCAGTCATGAGGCCAAAATAAAGACACTCACAGACATGTTTATTCTCCATGTACCCAATATGAAAACCGTGCTTGATAAAACATTTCAATAAGTTGAAAAAGAAATTTAAGGAGAAACACATGAAATATAAGAAAGTCAAAACAAATGATGAGATTAAGATTCAGGAAAAGATGGCTATAAAATGGAAAAAAATATAAAATAAATTAAGGACAATCTATCCTTGGGTGTTACACGCAAATAATAAATCGTGAATGCTACATCAAAAACTAATGGTGTACTAACATAACATAATAATAAATAAATAAATAGATAAATAAATAAAAATAAAACTGATCTAAAGTATGGTTTCTTATTTCCAGTACAATATCCTTTGCACTGATTTTGCAATCAATCTTACTGCATCTGGAATTCCATTTAATTTCAAGTTACAGTCTTATAGAAAAAAAGAAATAATAAAACATGACTAATAATACAAATGAAGCCTATAGATACATTGACATATGAGGACCATTTTTTCTGTAGACATTTTTCCCATGGTTGATTATACCTATGCCTTCACTGACTCCTTTTCAATAATCCTTGTTTTATTTATTCCTACCTAAAGTTAGCACATAAAAAAGTGAAATTAATTTAAAAACATGAAAATCTCTTACCTATATAGTAAAACATAAGGAATTATGAATGTGACTGATTTAGGTAGGAAAATTGTTTTGTAGAGACGCCTAATCCAAGACTTTCCAGTGAAGTTTATCAAAGAGGAAATTATTAGTCCTCTCTCCTCCTTCATGCTCCAGGAAGACCACTCGCGAAGACCACCTGCCCCGGAGTTGTTGGGAGAGGCCATGTGACTAGTTCTGGCCCCTGGCTCTGGGTGGAGGAGATGTGCGTCATGTCCAGTCTGGAGAAGAGTGGGAGTGCTCCATATTCTCTCTTCCCAGTCACGTCAAACTCGGAAGCCACCTGTTGCCATGGTAGCTCTACATGGAAGATGAGCTGCCATCAGCCTGCACCTCTGAGGGACTTTGTGGAGAAGGGGGGCTTCCCCTTTTCATATGAGCAGCAGTGAGCATACAGTGTGAACAAGAAATAAAAGCTCCTTATGTGAAGCCACTGCGGTTTCAGGGTTCATTTGCTACCACAGCATAACCTAGACTATCCCCTGCTAAGAGCTCCCTGTGCCTCATGTATCATTTGCAAAAGTCTTTGCTAAATTTCCTTAAGTTATGTTTAAACTTTTCTTGTACAAACTGACATACCCAAGGTCATTAGAGCCTTTTTGAACACTTTATTTGGAAAGTGATTTTATTAGGAAAGACATTTATATTTCTATGGAGTATAACAAAACTAAGGAAAAATGAAGTGTCTGACAACCAGAATACTTTTGCTCCCTGACTGAGATAATCTTCCTTCTCTGCTCACTGTCCATAAACAATAAATGCAGATTTTCTGAGAAATTGCCCCCCTAATTTGTGGAAATAACCTCAAAAGACTTTGAGATTTTCAGTTAATAACCTCTCAGTTTTGGAATTCGATTCTGTCCCTTAGAAAGGGACAGCTATATCTATATTTTTTTAACCAAAATTTAAGAAAACACAAATATTATTTAACCAGAAAAAATAACACCACAAATGTTAAACTGTTCTCTCGATATTTGAAAAGCTTGTAGATTCTGTTTCAAACCTAAATATAATTTTTTTTCAGTATTTTTTCTCTTTGTAACCCAGTTGTTCCAATTCCTGTTCACACTGGTGTATTTTGTGGAAAAAAAAAATTACGAGCCTTCAGAAAAAAACATATGTGGTCATCTTTTCCTTAACTGCTAGCACACAGGATTTTAACATAGAGTTTATTTTAAACTAAGCCAAGAAATCCTTGGAGTCCAAGTTGTTTTTCCATTAGAGGTATGAAACTTGGCCCCACATGTTTCTGTTCTGGAAAAAGTCCATTGACGCTCCGAATCACCTGGTAACATAAACTAATATGAGGTAGGTCTTAAAACATAACCCTCATAGGCACAGCAGGAAAAAATGAATTGGAAAAACATAACCTTGCGTTCTAATTTTATTCACTTAAAACTTCACAATATTCATTGCCCAGTAGGAATATGTCAAAATGATTAGACAAGCATTCTGTACTTAAGAACTCTGTGAAGTGTTGGTGGGAATGTAAAATGGTACAACTGTTGTGGAAAAAATTTAAAATAGAATTAACATATGACCCATCAATTCCATGTCTAGGTATTTACCCACAAGTACTGAAAACAGGGTCTCAATGAAGCATTTATACGTCTATGTTCACAGCAACATTATTCATGAGAACCAAAATGTGGAAGCAACACAAGTGTCTAGCAACAGATAAATGGTTAAGCAAAATGTGGTATATACACATACAATCGAATATTATTCAACCTTTTAAAAGAAGGAAATTCTGACCTGTGCTACAGCATGAATGCGCCTTGAGGGCATTATGCTAAGTGAAATAAGCCAGTCACAAAAAGAAAAATACTATAAATTCCACTTATAGGAAGTACTTACTAGTACTTCAAATTATAAATACAAAAGGTATAGTGATGGTTACCAGGGGCTGAGGGGAGGGGAGAATAGAGAGAGATTGTTTAACGGGTGTAAAGTTTTAGCTCTACAAAATGAAAAGAGTTATGGGGATGATTGCACAGTAACGTGAATGTATTTAATGTCACTGAACGTGAAATGTACTTAATATTTAATAAAAATGACTTACATGGTAAATTTTATGATATGGGTATTTTACCACAATTTTTTAAAGTGAAGAAAAATTCTGTGAAGAACTCAAAATAATCATGGGACCAGAAATGTAGGTACCTGTAAATAAGAACTAAATACGGACTGGCTGCTCTCATTACACACACACTTGGGCCAAGAATCACGCCTTTAATGTATCAGAGTGACTCTAAAAGCAAACAAAGCTCCTTACTAATAGCTTAATGAAGACAATGGTAAAGATGAAAATTATTAATATACTTCTGTATTAAGTTGAAAGGTGTTTTTATTATCCTAATAGCTGGTTTAAGACTTTCTCTTAGGTAAACATCTAACTTTGTTAGAAAAATACTATAATAAGCCCCTTTGTTGTGAAATCTGAGATCCAGAAATGTTTGAATATATGTGTGTGAGGCCATTAGAGGAAGGTGAAAAATCAGCCCCAAAAAATGGAAGGATAGAAGTGTCACCCACAATGTTGGGGTAAGTAGAAAGCTGTGACGACTCTGAGCTTTGTCTCCATGTTGGTTTCAAGGAGAACCAAGACAGCACCAAAATACTTGAAGAGATCAGTTCGAATACTCATAGAAATCATTGCCAGATGCACTCTACTCTTAAAGGTCATAAATTTGGGTGAGAAATGTCTGAGAATCTCCAAGAGTCACAGATGCTCTTGCTGATAACAATGTCATTCATCTATCTCACATAACTAACATTGAGTGCCCAACTGTACACTAAGTATTGTTCTAAGAGCTGTGGTCATCCTAACTCATTAAATCCTTGCATCAGCTTTATGAGGTACTAGTACTAACTCTACTCACCAAGTGAGGAAAGTGAGCCACATAAATGTTAGATGACATGACCAAGGTCACATAGCTAGTAAATGTCAGAGACAAGATCAAACCCAGACCATCTGAGTTCAGAGACTGTCATTTTCACCACTATGCTGTCTCTATTTTGTTCAGTGCAAGAATTTCTATAATGCTTAACAAAACTCAGATTTTCTAATTTGGTCATTAGCTGTGTCATCTTCCATAAAAATTGTCAAGTTTTATATTACAAGAGACCATAGAGTTCATCTTACCTAGTCTTTCCACTAATGCAGGGTTCCCTCATAACATACATTTTTCTTTAAAAAATAAAAATTAAAAAAAAAAAATAACAACTTTTTCTGACAACAAGCCAGGCTCTTTCTAGATACCTTTGATAACAAGGAGGCCCCCAATCTGAGGATCAGAAGTGTTTTACTAGAAAAAGTACTTGACAACTTTTAGAGATGGCAAAATCCACCATTTTTTGTTAATATCTTTCGGTAACCAGTTTGCAAACCATCAACAAAAAGTGTAAATATGAAAAGTTATCAATTAAAATTCCTCAATGAAACATCAAATGTTATGGTGAGTAAAGGGTTCTTTGCCATAGAAGACAATGAGAGTATTATTGACTGAGTCACACAATCTGTCTCAGGAATAAATGCATATCTTAAGTACACCCATGTTGAAACAATAGGACTTCACGTGTTTGAAGACATCTAAACAGCAAATATATGGACTAAAACTATTTTTTTTTTGTCAGAGTTTGAACAACCACAACAATGGGTTTTTAACAACTTTGAAAGGAAAAAGAGAGGGCAATGCTCACCAGAAAGAATGGTGGTAGCTAATGGGTCATAGGTAGCAATGTTTCAAAGACATTGCAATACAACTGGGAGTGGTAGAAAGTGCATATCAGAGGCAATAATGATTGTTATTATTATGGTTTGGCTCATAGAAAAATAATAGCACTTAATATACTAATATTTTCTGAAAAATTACCAGATTTTCAGTTATATCCAGAGTCACACACTCAAAAAATGTGTCCTTGATAGATAGCTGTGAAAAGAATGCTTCCCTTAGGGCACCTGGGAGGCTCAGTCAGTTAAGTACCCAATTTTTTATTTTACCTCAGGTCAGGATTTAGGCTCTTGAGATCAAGCCCTACATCAGACTATGTACTGGGCATAGAACCTGCTTAAGATTCTCTCTCTCCCTCTCCCTTTGTCCCTCTACTTCTGCTCAGGCTCTCTCTTTCTCTCTCTCTCTTGCTCTCTCTGTCTCTCTAAAAAAATAAAATAAAATAAAATAAAAAATGCTTCCCTTGCATTCCCTAACAAGTTTAGAATTGTATTTTATCTTAAAAAAGAATTAAACCAAACAAGAGATAGATATCCCAGTCAGGAACTAAGACATACAAGGATTCTTTTAAAGTTATTTTATAAGTATAAAATCAAAGGAATAATGAGAAGAATTACACACATATTCAAAGAACTCCAGTCTTGCCTAGATCATTAGTGATGAACTTTAAAGGCAAGAACATCTTAAGATTGTTTTCCTTTTCTATTATAATAATTAAATATAAATATTTTATTTGAATCAGTAGTAAATTTAGATCAGTAAATGCCTCATTTCTAGAGGACTCAATCTGCATCTGGGCATCGAAACACATACTTGCTTACAAATAAATCCTTCACATAATTATACTTCTATGGTACTTTGATAGTTATGGTATATACCTGACCCCCAAGGGGGTCAAGAAGGATCATTATATATACAAATTGTTTTACTAAACAACCCTCCCACTGAAAAGTAATTACCAGCAAGAATCCATTTTCAAGGGATATACAGAGGAATAAACATAGTTTGTTATTTATTAATACTATTAGCTTCCCTCTGCATTAACCCTAGCCTATGGATAAATATACCTAGTCTACTACAGTTTGTTTCACGGATTAGAATAACAAAGTGGAGTACAGGTCCTTCAGGTCATAAATATCACTAAAAGAAAGAATTAGTTTTAAAGAATTTTCAATTACATACCAAAAAGCTATGAGTGTCCTCGTTCCCGTTCTGCTGCCTCTGATCTGTACAAGAAAAAGACAAGAAAGGGGTCATAAGGTTTCTGCCTGGACCCAACTATCTAGAAGGAAGTCAGAATCTTACCACATCACCCACCAAGAAGAGGCAACAAAATAGTAACTTGCTCATCATAAAAACTACCCAATGAGTCTCTTGGAAAATGAGAAAGTTCTATCTCACAGGAAAGAAGACCTAGGTATAAACTAGCAGGAAATCATTAAGCTGAGATCCCCTGGAATTGAATGTTTTCTAAAAGATAGTGTGAAAATAATGTTCAAATCCCTTTGAACACTGCTCAAGATATATTTTTACTTTACTTTTAAATATCTTGAAAGATGTTCACATGGATTTAGAACTTCCATCTGTTTTCCTGGAATTCTGTCAATGGGAAAATGTTTCATATTAGTAATATCCCACCCATTGCCTAAGCCATAAGTTTAAAAAAAACAGATTTTTAAGACTTCATCTTTTTAAAAGACTTAATTTATTTATTTGACAGACAGAGATCACAAGTAGGCAGAGAGGCAGTCAGAGAGAGAGAGAGAGAGGAGGAAGCAGGCTCCCCGCTGAGCAGAGAGCCTGATGCGGGGCTCGATCCCAGAACCCTGGGATCATGACCTGAGCCGAAGGCAGAGCCTTTAACCCACTGAGCCACCCAAGTGCCCCAGGACTTCATTTTTTAAGAGCAGTTTTAGGTTTATAGAAAACTGAGAGGAAGGTACAGAGATTCTTCTATACCCCCTGCCCCTACATGTGCATAGCCTCCCCCATTATCAACATCACTCACCAGAATGGTATATTTTTTTACCAAGAATGAATTTACACTGAAACATCATAACTAGATAAAGTCCGTAACATACCTTACAGTTCACTGTTGGTGTTATAAATCCTGTGTTTATAGAAAAAAATATGTGCAGAGACATATATCTATCATTATATCATGTGATATAATATCATAGTATATTGATTGCTTTAAACATCCTCAGTGCTCTGCATATTCATTTCTCCCCCCACAAGCAACCACTGAACTTTTTATTATCTCCATAGTTTTGCTTTTTCCAAAATGTCATATAGCTGATATCATACAGTATGTAAACTTCTCAGATGGGTTTCTTTTGCTTAGTAATATGCATTAAAATTTCCTTTATGTCTTGTCATAGCTTGATAACATATTTCTTTTTAACACTAAATATTCCATTGTCTGGATGTGTCAGTGTCTTTATCCATTCACCTACTGAAGGACATCTGGTTGCTTTCAAGTTTTACCAATGATGAATAATCTGCTGTAAACATCCATGTGCAGATTTTTGTATGGATGTAAGTTTTCAACTACTTTGGGTAAATACCAAGAAGCATGACTCCTGAGCTAGCTATATGGTAAAACTAAGTTTAGTTTGGTTTGGGGTGTTTTGTTTTTTTTTTTTTTAAGATTTTATTTATTTATTTGACAGACAGAGATCACATTAAGCAGAGAGGCAGGCAGACAGAGAGAGGAGGAAGCAGGCTCCGTGCAGAGCAGATAGCCCGATGTGGGGCTCGATCCCAGGACTCTGGGATCATGACCTGAGCCGAAGGCAGAGGCTTTAACCACTGAGCTACCCAGGTGCCCCTAAGTTTTGTTTTTTAAGAAACTACTGTTTTCTTCCAAAATAGTTATTCCATTTTGCATTTCCCATTAGCAATGTATTAGAGTTCCTGTTTCTCTACATCCTCACTGGCATTTGGTGTTGTCAGTGTTTCAGATTTCGGTCATTCTAGTAGGTCTTTAAGTGGTTATCACAATTCTGTTTTAATTTAATTTCCTTGATGACATATGGAGCATTTTTCCATGCTTATTTCATATGCTTATTTGCCACATGTAAATCTTTGATTAAGTGTGTCTCAAGGTATTTAGTCCACTTTTAATAATGTTGTTTATCTTCTTACTGTTGAATTTTAGGAGTTCACTGTATATTTCGGATAATAGTCCTTTATCTCATGTGTCTTTTGCAAGTACTTTCTCCCAGTCTGTAACTTGTCTTCTAATTGCTTTATATTGCCTTTTGTAGAGAAGTTTTTAATTTTAATGAAATCAACATATTAATGTTTTCTTTCATGGATCACAATTTCTGATGCTATATCTAAAACAGTATCACCATACTCAAGTTCATCTAGACTTTCTCCTACAATATTTTCTAGTTCTGTGTTTTATGCATAGGTCTATGATACCTTTTTAAACATAATTTTCTCCATCACTTCTTAAGTAGAGATCATCATTTTTGTGAGGAGTGTATGGTCTGTGTCTAGTTTCACTTTTTGGCCTGTAGATGTCCAGTTATTCCAGCACCATTTGTTGAAGATACTATCTTTGCTCCATTGTATTGCCTTTGCTCCCTTGTCAAAGATCAATTGACAACATTTATGAGGGTCTATTTCTGGGATCTCTCTTCTGCTCCATTGACCTACTTGTTTATCTTTTTACCAATATGATACTGTCTTGATTACTGAAACTGTAAAGTGAGTCTTGAAATTTGGTAGTGTCTGTCCTCCAACTTTGTTTTTCTCCCTCAATATTGTTTGGCTATTCTGGGTCTTTTCCCTCTCCATATAAACTTTAAAATCTATTTTTCAATGTCCAAAAAATAAATTGCTGATATATTAATTGGGATTGAACTGAATCTATGGGTCAATTTTGGAAGAATTGACATCTTGACAATATTGAGGCTTCCTATCGATGAACATGGAATATCCCTCTAGTTTTTTAGTTCTTCTTTGATTTTATTCATCAGAATTTTGTAGTTTTCCTCATATAGATCTTATATATATTTTTGTTATATTTATACCTAAGTATTTGACTTCTGGGAGACTAAGGTAAATGATAATTGGTGTTTTTTATTTCAAATTCCCCTTGCTCATTATTGGATATAAGAAAGCAATTGACTTTTGTATATTAACCTTGTGTCCTACAACCTTGCTATAATCAGTTATTAGTTCCAGGAGGTTTTTGTTGTTTTGGGCGGGGGGGGGGTTTTGGTCAGTATTACAGACTTTCTACGTAAATGATCAAGGCACTTGAGAACAAAGAAAGTTTTAGGTCTTCCTCCCTATCTTTATCTTTTAATTTATTTTCTTGCTTTACTGCATTAGCTAGAACTTCTAGCATGATGTTGAAAAGGAGTAATGAGAAGAAACTTCCTTGTCTTGTACCTGATCTTAACACCATTAAGTATGGTGTTAGCTGCAGGCTTTTTGTAGATAGTCTTTATCAATAGCCTGTCAATATAACTATAAATAGATAGTTCCCTTTTCTTCCTAGTTTACCAAGAGTTCTTAACATGAATTGGTGTTAGATTTTTGTCAAATTTTTTTCTGTATGTATTAAAATGATCATGTGATTATTCTTTTTGTATCTGTTGATGTGATGAATTGCATTAGCCTTGCATAACTAAGATAAATCTCATTTGATTATGGTACATAATTCTTTTTATACTTTTCTGGATTAAATTTACTAATTTTTATAGAGTACTTTTGCACCTATGTTCATGAGAGATATTGGTCTGTAGTTTTCTTATGTCTTTGTCTGGTATTGGCCTAAGGCTAATGCTGACCTCAGATTCAGTTAAGACATACTAGCTCTGCTTCTTTCCTCTGTAAAGTTTGTAGAGAACTGGTGTAATTTCTTCCTCAAATATTTGGTAGACTTTGCCAGTGAACCCATCTGGAACAGGTGTTTTCTCTTTTGAAAGTTTATTTATTATTGATTCAATTTCTTTAATAGATATAGATCTATTCAGATTATCTATTTCTTCTCATGTGAATTTTGGCAGATTGTGTCTTTCAAGGAATTGGTCCATTTCACCTAGACTGTCAAATATGTGGGCACAGAGCTATTCACAGTATTTTTTTATTATTCTTTTAATTTCCACGGAAGCAGTAGTGATGTCACCTCTTTCATTTCTGATATTAGTAACTTGTATTTTCTCTCTTTTTTTCTCAGTTAACCTGGCTAGACATTTACTGATTTTATTGGTCTTTTTTAAAGAACCAGCTTTTGGTTTCATTGATTTTCTCTATTGATTGCCTATTTTCCATGTCATTGATTTTTTGCTCTAATTCTTATTTCTTTTCTTCTTCTTACTTTGGATTTAATTTGTTCTTCTTTTTCTAAGTTCCCAAGATGGAAAGTTAGATTATTGGTTTTAGATTTTTCTTCTTTTCTAATATATGCATTCAATTCTATAAGTTTCCTTCAATCAGTATTTTTGCTGCAAATTTCTTCTTTTTTTAAGCCTATATATTTATATCTCACAGTAAAATGAGATGGCAGAAAAACATGATCTATCAATGACAGATATATTTTAAGAAGATCTGTTTTTTAATGACTCATCTGTTTTGAATATTTGGGGATTTTTAAACTTTTAAAATTTTCCTCCTAATTTTCATTTTGAAAGTTTTTATAACTATAGGAAAGTGCTGTGGGAATATTTTAAAATGAACACCTGGATAGCCTTCGCTAGATTCCTAAATTATTACCATTTTGCCACATTTGCTTTATCTGTCTGTACATATAAATATTTTACAAAACCACTTGAGAATTAGTTTTAAAGATGTTTCACCCCTAAAAACTTAGTATGGTCATCATCTCACACCTATCAGAATGGCTAACATCAACAACACAAGAAATAACAGGTGTTGGAAAGGATATGGAGAAAGAGGAACCCTCTTACAATGTTGGTGGGAATGCAAACTGGTGCCACCATTCTGGCAAAAAGTATGGAATTTCCTCAAAAAGTTAAAAATAGAATTACCCCAAGATCCAGCAATCACACCACTAAGTATTTATCTAAAGAATATAAAAGCAGTTATTCAAAGGGATACATATACTCCAATGGTTAAAGTGGCATTATCTACCATAGCCAAATTGTGGAAATAGCCTAAGTGCCCATAGACTGATGAATAGATAATGAAGAGATATTACTCAGCCATAAAAAGTAATGAAACTTTACCATTTGTGAAGATGGATGTA